TGGCCGCGCAGGTGTGGTCTCGGGCAACATGCGGCCGAGGAATGTGGCTCAGGCGGGCAGGCCGCGCAGGCGTATAGCTCAGGCGGGCTGCAGCCGAGGAGCGTGGCTCAAGCGGGCAGGCTGCGCAGAGGCAGTGGTCTCGGGGAGCATGGAGCCGAGGAGCACGACGCAGGCGGGCTGGCCGCGCGGGTGTGGTCTCGGGGGGCATGGAGCCAAGGAGCACGACCCAGGCGGGCTGGCCGCGCAGGTGTGGTCTCGGGCAACATGTGGTCGAGGAGCACGATGCAGGCGGGCAGGCCGCGCAGGTGTGGTCTCGGGCAACATGCGGCCGAGGAGCACGGCGCAGGCGGGCAGGCCGCGCAGGCGTATATCTCAAGCGGGCTGGGGCCGAGGGGTATAGCTCAGGCAGGCAGGCCGCGCTGAGGTGGACTCGGGCAGTCTACGGCCAAGCCGTGTAGATACCGAAGGGGTTAGGTCGGGGCTAACCGCGAGCCGGGAGGCAGTCAGGTAGATACTGAGTCTTCGCTCGGAAGAGACTAAGGCAGGGCCTAGATTCCTCTTCTCGAGGTTGGTCATTCGGGGGGTGATCCCGTGCGGCCCCGATCAGGCGTGACCATCCAGCGACGGGTTCGTCTGAGTCGATCTGGCGATCCCTTGACATTCGGGCCCTCCTTCTAGCGTCAAAATGTTGGTGTAAACAACTTCGAGCCGTGGCCTCGGGGCCGACGCGTCTTGGTTCGGGTCCGAATGATGGGGGGATCTTGTTCGGCGTCCCTCTGGGTTGCCAAGGCGGTCGGTTGTGCTGATCGGGTCGCGTCGGAGCTCGTCGGGCTTCTCCGGGGGGTGGAGGTTCCTTGCCTGGGTGTTCGGAGGAAGGAGCTTCGTCTTCGTCCCTGCACACAGGTCGGGTCGGGGTGCTCGACCCGACCCCTCCGACGATCAAGTTAGTGAGTAGTCGCAGGGGGTTTCAATAGCTAAGTTGTGTCTCCTTCTCGCTCTCTTCTCCTCGTTCAGGACGCGAGGGTATTTATAGGAAAGCTTACTGTTTCCTGATGTGCCCGCTTGCAGGGGGCAGGCTCGTACTCCTGGTAGCGTCCGACATTCGTGTTGGCGTGGCGTGGACGACCGGGCTTGAGCAGGACGTTAATGAACCTCGGCTGGCGTTCTGGTCCGTTTGACCAGGTGCTGTCGGGTCGATCGAGGCGTGAGGCGTCATCTGGGGCAGCTGACGTTAGCCCGAGTCTTGTCGCCATTATTATCCTCATCAGTTATGATGGTCATCTGAAACATTTCTGGGTCGATAAATTTCAAATCTCTGAAGGGTTTTCTTTGGGAATGATTAATATTATTTACTTGTCTAATTTATATTGATGAAGAGTCAAGTATGGCCTTGGTTAAAATTCTCAGTTAGCAAATCATCAAAGTTTGTCCTGCGTGACCTTTGGCAGAAAAAGAGTGATTCATTATTTGATATTCTGGTATCTTGGTTCATTGACTTCTATTATGATCATCGTAATCTGACTTGCTGAAACATGTGTCCTAGAAGAACAAGTTATCACATATATGCTTGCTTTTTGATGGAATCCTACTTCATAGAACCCAAATATGACAGGGAGTTGAAATTTATTCTCACAAAAAACACATATTTCAGCTTTCGATGGCACCATTATTTAGGAAACAGGATCTTAGCTTTATTATGTAACAGAAAATCCTGTAATTTGTGTTTACAATCAGTTCGTAGATTGTAGTATCCCATGAGTTTGTAATTGAATTATGGTCCTTCACCTAGGTAATGCTAAAATATAAATGAAGCATGCATTTTCAGTTTTTTATGGAATTACCGATGGAAAGCAGCCCATTGCACATCAAAACAAGAATCAAAAGACACACACATACTAACTGGTAATAAGATTGTCCATTACTAATTGATAAACAAAATATGCATTTTAATTGTAGGATTTTGCGAACATTGTACATATATCTTTCTTTACCACCTGAATTATTTTCCTGAGGCATTGTATACACACCACCTGATATCAATGCACTTCTTTTGCGGGCAGTGATATGGATTAACCATTAAAATTGTGCAGGGTGCTGGTGGCAGACCCGGATTCGGCCTTGGAGGTGGAGGTGGAGGATTTGGTGCTGGTTCTGCCCGAGCTTCTCTTCAGTGGCTTTTAGGGCTGCGCTTCCAAGTGTTCCCCGTCGAGCTTTTTGACATGAAAGGCATTTTTGATGATTTCGTCTGTTTGCTTCCAATTTGTTGAATTGATTAGAAATTGTAAGATTCTGCTGGTCAAACGCATAATGCCTTTGGAAATTTTTAAGAGGTTGGCGTATGAAGTGGTGCTACATCAGATTTGCTTATATGCTCTGCCAACTCAAACAGTGCTGCTCTAGCACTCTACAATTTCTGCTGACATCAGTAAATAGTTTTTGAGTTGCAGAGCTAGGAATCAATCTGAAAACTCTTGGTGCCATACATAATATATATATAATATTTTGATAATCTAATGATTCTCGACTGACCTTTTGATCCGAGTTCAGAGTCCTTGAATCAGATGAATGATCTCTGTGCTGGTCATCCTGCAGCTCGTCAAATGGAATATACATCAATCAGCACTGCCGTCTCCCGCATGAACGCCTCTCCTGCGCATCATTTGCGTGACCGCGTCCTAAAAACTATTTGAAGATTTCCAGTCTTGATCTCATAGGGAACAATCATAAACAGATGGCAAGCGGACAGGTGCACAGAGAAGATAGTGGGAAGAGATGTAGCCCCCATATACTTGATCCCCCTCCTGGAAGCAAGGTAGCACCACTCATCTGTGCCATTGATTCTTGTTTCATATCCACGTATTCCTTCTCCACTCAGCCTTTTTATTCTAAACTCACGACATCTTGTTTGTTTGCAGTATAATTATTCTTAGAATAACAGTTCTTGCTTCTTATATCACCATCACCGCAGGGAGATAACGAGACAGCCATCGTAGAAGAAGAAATGGGAACTCTATGGATTGTGCTCCTCCTCGTCTTCTCAGGTATTCGGAACATGTCGTCTCTTAACGAAGAGCATTGCGTTTTGATTGACCTGTTGTGGGAATTCTTCTGTTGGCAGGGGCAAAACCGTCCGAGGGAGCGCGAGTCTTCACCATAGTGAACGAGTGCAAGACCACGATATGGCCGGGGATCATACCGGGGGAAAGCTTCAACGGCGGTGGGTTCGCCCTGAAGCAGGGGCAGTCCGTCGTCGTCAAGGCCCCGGTCGGGTGGTCCGGTCGGATATGGGGCCGGACCGGATGCAACTTCGACCAGAACGGGAACGGGTCGTGCCAGACCGGCTCCTGCGGCTCCTCCCTCAAATGCTCCGGCTCGGGCGAGACGCCCGCCACGCTCGCCGAGTTCACCCTCGCCGCCTTGGACTTCTACGACGTCAGCCTCGTCGATGGCTTCAACCTTCCGGTGGTGGTGACCCCGGTCAATGCGCAGGGCGGCAACTGTAGCTCCGCCGGCTGCGACGGCGACCTGCGACAGACCTGCCCCTCGGAGCTGGCCGTCATGGTCAAGAGGGAGACGGTGGCGTGCCGGAGCGCGTGCGACGTGTTCAATACCGACCAGTACTGCTGCCGCGGCGTGTACGGGAACCCGTCCACGTGCCAGCCGACGTACTATTCCAAGAAGTTCAAGACGGCGTGCCCGACGGCGTACAGCTACGCGTACGACGACCCCAGCAGCATCTTCACCTGCAGCCAGGCCGACTACATCGTCACCTTCTGCTCCAACAGGTGAACGCATTACCTTACCTTGCTTGATTGCCAGCGTTTCTGAGAGCAGGACGACGGACTCAGTCGCATTGTGGCTTCGTTGCAGGAAGAGCAGAGTGTGCTCGTACCACGACAACAAGCTGACTTGCAGCGGAACCGATGGGGGAGCATCTACTTGTAAATGGCTGATAGCGATGTTCCTTGGTTTGTGGGGCTCGCTGCTCGTATTATAGGCAAAGCGAAGTTGGATGTTTCTTTCTTGTGGTGCACAGTTTGCAGAGGATGATGAGGCCAGTTTGTGTCCTCTACGATGGGGCTCATCCGTTTGTGATACACATTAAGAGAATGATATGTTCTTCAGAATTCCAAAACTATTGCTGGTTTTTGGTAGAGAACGCCGCTCCACTTCCTTGTTTCCACTTTAAAAGCCCAATATCTGCAGAAGAGTTGTTTGGACTTTTATTACAGGCCGTACATCTGGCGATCCAAAGTATCTAACAAAAAAAAAAGTTGTGGTAAGAGCTAGTTGCAAATAATGAACTGATAACCTTTTCCTTAATCCCCAAATAATGGAGCAATCTCTATTCTTACCCAAGCCAAGGAATCTAAAAAGAAAACTCTTTGATATTCTCAATGTTTCAAGGATCAACGAGACGAGGAATGAGATTGCTCATTCATCAGGGCCAAAGTCCTCATCGGAGGCATTTCCTAAGAATGATCCAAGAGATTTGCGTAAGATGCTGAAAGATCTGTCATCCTGTAACGTAACCAAGACGAGAGCATGACATTAGCGTAAGTCTGATTGATGCTTGAAGTTCAAATTGAGACAAGGATAAGCTTTAGATCCCTGAAAATTTTACATGCTTGCACCAAACAGAACCCTTACTTGTCGAGGCATGCATCGACAAGATGATGTGATTAGATTAATGAGTACATCTATCAGTGCTACTGATCTTTGACATGTTCCTGATATAACCTGGTACTAGCACCCAAATCACTAACCATCCAGATACACGCACAAGACTATGAAAATTCTTGAGACTGGCAGATTGAGATGCATAATTTTAGCAAGAACGACATATGATGCAAAAATACCAGAAAGCAACCATAGAAAAGTGGAGGATAACAAAGCAAACCAGACTGCTGACCGACTGTTGTATTCCGCTGACTTACCTGCATCTTCTTTTTCAGAGATTCTTCTGCACTGGCTAGCTTGTCTGTACAGGTCTTCTCGAGTTCAGAGAGACTAGTTTTCTCTTTCTTTCCTACAAGACATGGAAGACAATGACTGCGTTAAACCTCTTCCTTTGGCAGTCTAGTTTTGAAAAAGAAAAAGCTGGTGCTCACTGTGTTGTTCATATCGAATGGACAATTTTTCCTTTTCATCTTCGTATTTGGAATATATGTCTGAAAGCAGAACCAATAAATGATAAGCTATTGACCATAAAGAGATGCCTGTAGTTTGCAACTTACGGATTGAAAAGAAAATAATTCCTAACATTTGAAAAATTATCTAATATTTGCAAGCAATAGCTTAGAGGATCAAACCAACTCCTTTGACCAAATGAAAACAGCCGCTGTACTTAACCCGTAGGATCATGTTCTATGGATCGTGTCCTTCAATGCTAGTTTACGAAATAGAAAGTTGCATGATACACAGTTGTAGTCCAATAGCCCAGACGTAAAAATCACGAGTCCGGGTGTTGGAAACATGCAAATTACAATCAATATGCATATAATTTGTAGATAAAAAGTTCTGAATAACAATGATAATCTAACCTGCATTTCAGTCCACAATCAATCGTACCAGAATTTGAAGCTTTTAGCTACAAATTCATCTCATGCTGAAGGATATCCTTAGAGGGATAGTCTACCAGTTAGCCTTAGAAAAACAAACTGATGAAGTTCGTATAGGGTTGAAATCCGATTTACAAAGCTGTCATGGTGAACAATTTAGAAAAGTACTACTAATGTAGGTAATCTTATAACCACGAATGATATGAGAAGGTACCCATATTCTGGAAGGCATGTTGATGAGTGAACTACATGGTTGAGACAATTGTTCTTGTATCTTTATAATTTATTTTGAACTAATATTATTATGCCAGGTTTGCAGAATCACGATATTTTACAAAATCTCCATTTAGAAGAATATACATCGATACTTCAAATTGCCCCATCCTTTAGCTACTACTGTGTAGAACAAACTAGAGTGCTCTGAGTCACAGACACACTTTTAGATGGTCAAATATCTAATATTGTGGCTAAATCTATATAATAAAGTCTAATATCTGCAGAAGAGTTGGTAATGACCCATTAATCACAAGACAAATGTTATGCTGAGGTGAAAATTGCAAATCAAACAGTTTACTACTTGTTTGAACTTACCTTTAAAAGCCTGTATATGTGCTTGTTTCTCCTTGCAAAACTTTTCATAAGCTGCTTGAAACTTGCTGTACTCTGTTTTCAAAGAGCTCTCACACTACGGTTTATTCATGTTAGAAGATCAAAATTATCACAATACTAATGGTCCTAAGAACATTGTTATTAATAAACTTTAACCAACGAATTATAGCTTAATGAACCTCTTTAGAACTCTTTAATAATGCCTTCATCAAACTCTGCCTGTCATTAAAAGAGGAACTACTTGATTACATGTGCTATGTCATAAGAAGGTGAAGGAGATACTATCTATCGAGTGTGCAGAACCAAATGAATTAACTACGATTATTTGAACTTTGCGATGACAGAAAATAACAATTTAGTGTTTTCGATATTAACCATGATATATGAGCAAAAGAGACGCTTAGCATTGCGATCATTCCAAAAATGATTATAATATTGTAGAGTTGTGTGTTAAATAACCATCCTGGCATTTCAAATTCATTAAGCTAAATCAACAACACATGGCAAGAAATGGATTTCTTCTACCTTTCTTTGTCGAACTTTGATTTGGCATCATCTGTCATTGATTGGATCTCCAACTCTAGACTGTTAACCAAATAGATCGTCAGCTACATGATAAAATGATACACATGATTGCTACACTTTACACCTAAAGGTGAATGATTTTGTAAATAAGCTAATGCTTGCTCATTTATAAATGGAGTCAAAGAGATCAACATCTATTTCAGACAAGAAATCTATTGAGTACACATGTATCAGTCCAAGACAAAATGTTTGCTACTACATATAAAGAACAAAATCATACAAGAATAGATTTCTCCTTTAAACTATTGATAAAAATTACTGCATCTTCTCTATTATCCAGAGTGCAGATATTGGAACAAAAACTCATCTGGGTATCTGTACAAATCAAAATAATACAAAGATAGCTCGGATTCAGCAAACTCCCCATCTGCAAAACTACATCGGTTCATTTAATTGTTAGGGCACAGAATGGTAGCTCTAGATTCAGAAATCCGCATAATCAATATTTTATCCAAATCTTACTATCTCTGCTGTTAAATCGTAGGTCATAGCATAAAAGGGAAGAAACCTAACAAGAGAAGAGGATTGATCCATAATAGAACAGAGAAGAACAACGGAATATGAAAGGAGAGGCAATTAGGTTTCATTGAGATAAGAATTGACCTCTTTATCGTTTCCTCTGCCTTCTTTTGCCCATCCTTCAGAGCTTTTTCTCTGATCTGATGCAAGGCCGATATGATCCCCTTGATATCACTGAAATCGCCAATCATTTGGATCCGTTCACGCAACAAACCCGGAGAACGAAACCACGGGAAAACAAGATCGAAGGAAGAACATATAGGGGTACAGTCAATACCGTACCTGGATAGATCGAGATCTGGGTCGTCATCAACACTCTCTGGCTTCTTCGCCTTCCTCTCAGGCCTCAGGCACTCCGACTTCTCCCTGCTTCGCTTGGCACTTCCTGCGGCTGCCGACATTGGAAATCCACCCAAATCCAACATGAAAACCTCCGACCTAGGATCGAGAAGAGTAGGGCCACCAAAGAGATGCAGGGGTTTAGGGTTTCGAAACCCTAGTTCGTCGAAACGAAGACGAAGAACGAGCTGGCGTCCTCTTCGCTCGAACGCGCTCTGGCCTCATCTAATATCCCGCCTGCCGGATGCAATTACTCTTTTACCCCCGACAGGGGAGCGGCTCGTGAGTTCAGATCCGGCTTGTCCTTAGGGGTATTTCTGGTACAACAGAACAAAGTTTGAACTCGCCCGCCATTTCCATCGGTGGTTAGTGGGGATCCCCTCCAAGCGAATCACAGTGTAAAAGTCTTGCAATTCCAACACATGCAACCGATGAAAAGCTTCAAGGTTTGATTGATGTGACTACGAGTCTAATCCTTCTCCAACTTCATCATTATTGATCCATAAAATCGATTGCGCATTAGGAATTTAATCGAAACCATTTTGATGAGAACAAACATTACAATTGGCTGCTTTCATCAGTAATGATATGAAGAAATTAGCCGGAAGCAAAGCAGCTTTACTCATAGTAAGGTCTTCAAAGCTTGTTCTTGCAGCATTGGTAATCAGTAACCATGCAGTTGCAGATGTGTTCTTGCATAATCTGCTAATATATCTTAAAGATGGATTGACAGTTTCTCCTTCCATCCTCCAAAGAAACAGCACAAGATCATACGAAGCCATGTTCTTCCATTTATCTCGGCTCTGATGATTGGAACACCCATCACTCGGACGTGGTCTCCACCTTCCCATGTGAACGATCAGCTTTTTCCCATCCCTCGAACCACCACAGAGCCATTTCCTTTTCACCGAAGCCATGGCTGCTGGTCAATCAATGTCTGTGGGGATATCCTTGAAGACAGGAAAGGAACTGGCCATAAGTTGCCTGGAGATGCCAAACGTTGATGTTGCTCATGTCAAACTTGCACATCTTTGCATTCGCAGTGGCCTTCCGGACAGCCGAAACAAGCTTCAAGATGTCATAGAATCACCTACATGAACTCATGGATGGATTTCATTCGAGAGTTTTGAGCTCCAGTTTCGGGTGATCAGCTCACTAGGCAAAGCTGCACAATACTAGAGTGAGAATGTTCTTGCGAACCACCCTGTCGGCAGAGTCATGTGGACTATGGGAGTGACTGTTGTGAGACCCACAGAAGGCGACCCGTCATGGGGGATGACCTAATCCCATTAGGGTTACACGTTCTGTTCTTGTCGTGAATGGTGTTAAAGGTGAAATCTTTGGATGACTTCTTATACCAACCGATCCTGTGTTCCTCGCATTTGCCTCCTCTTCTCCATTACGCTCCTACAAACATGAATGACTTCAGGGAGAGCAAGCAGTACTGCTATTTCCACCCCAAGCAGTTGGTCGTGGGGATATGTGCTCAGTGCTTGAGAGACAGGCTCCTGCTCTTGGAATCCAAACAAGCTCATCTTCCTCGAACCAAGGACGGCATTAGGTCATTCAGAGTCTTGAAGACGAAATCCATCATCGCCCTTCCTAAAATCTTCGCTCTGGGCTCTTTCGTACATCTCCTCGAGCCCCATCATCGTGAGAACAAAGATCACTCCGAAGACGAAGGCTCCATTGACAGCCTTGAAGGTAAACGTTTAGTCCAAATTCGTTGATTCGTTGGGTAGATCATGTATGTCTTAAGTGAATCAATCATCTATATCTCCATCGACATGCAGCCTCGGTGTGCTAAATATGAACAGAAGAATGCTTTCTATGAGATAGACTTAAAATACAGCCTTTAGGTTAGTTAATTCATATGTAAAGGTAGATCAGTATAGCTACTCCTCATTTCTCTCATGATCAATGATTCAAACTGATTGAACGTGAGTTGCCAGTCTCTTTTCAGCATTCATGGAGGTCATGCTCGAGTAGTATGTGATTACACGTAACTGGTTCCGGTTTTGTCAGACTCATTCATAACGATGAAGTTTGAGGATGATGGACAAGCTTCATGGAATACTGACGGCAAAAGCAAGAGCATCGAGTCTTGTGCAAACAACACAATGAGCGATGACACCAAGGTGGTAAGAACAGCACTGGTGGAGCACTCAAACCCCGGTGGGGTGCTGAGATGGCGAAAGAGAATCGGGCAGCTTCTCCAGCTTGGACGTTGGAAGCGGTCCAACAAGGCAAGCACATGCCATGTCGGATTTAGAGGGAAGGTGGAAGGAGTCAAGGGAAGGAGAGGTTGGATAAGGAGCCTCACAAGGAGGACCACCAGCAGTGACTAGTGGAGAGTGGCAGGCTATGTATTATGAACTTTAGCTTTCCTTCACCCAATTTGATGTCAACTTTGCTGCAAAGTATTGGATGAGTAAATCAAACACATGAGACTTGAGTTTTGACTGTATACTGTACAGCATCAAGCTATTAATCATGGCAAAAAGGGGTTCTTTTTCGACATGGAAAGATCACTTGATTTTGGTCATCTTCATCTGCAAGCAAAAGAATGTCAATGTGCTACTTCATTCGAATGGGTTGGATGTTTTCTGAATCTGTAGGCTCATCAATGCACTTTGTGGATTCTGAACTAAGATGAATAAAGCATGAAAGGAAGCTGAATTTTCTTAAGCTTCCTTTCATGCTTTATATCTATGAAGATTGATGATGGTTTTGTGTGGGTAGAAGACTGATAAATTATTGGAGCAAAAAAAAGAAAAGAAAGTTGATTCCATAATGCATTTATATTCATGTAGCTATTGTTGGTATTGAGAAGATTGATGATTGTGTGGATAGAAGACTGATTAAAAAGCTATTGAAGCCAATTCAAGTTGTACCCACAAAATGAACATGACATGTTTCTGGTTTAATTTTTTTTTTATATATGTTTTTGTGCCCATAAAAACTCCATACGCTTGTAGGAGTTTGACCAAATTAATTTTCATACATGTTTTAGGTTTTAATTAATTAATGACATGTTATTGGGTTTATTTTTTGTCATTTTAAGATCTATGTATATACAAGGATAAAGTCTTCATTTATGGACCACTAAGAGCAAAGGAAATTGACTAAAAAAAAAAAAGCAAAAGTGGTTCAATTAATAATTTTTTTTTATATATCTCCACATGGCCTCTTGGGATTTAAGAGTGAACAGTTACTCTTAATAGCTTGAATTAAGAGTAACTTTTCACTCTTAATTAAGGACATACCCAATAAGATTTTTTTGATGCTTAAATTAGTTTGGATTTAAAGAATTTAATCAAATATTAAATTTATATGAACACAATTATACTGAAATAATTCAGATGTCCAAAAGCCTGCACAAGAGACCTTTTCTAGTATCATATGAAATTATTAGAGTGAGAGTTGAGAAGATGATATATCGATCATATAAAGATGAGATATCGATTAGGCGAAAAACGATATGTCAATCCCATAAACGTGAGATATCTATAACCATCCACGTATTATATTTCACGTTTATAGATTTTACAATATATAATACTGATAGAAATCATGTTTTCTATAGTTAAATGATTATTACAAGAAGTTAATTATTTTCATAATTAGCTCTTCCATTTATTTATGACAGTTGAGAGAATGGTATTCAACTGTGATTCTCAACCGAGTGTCATAAAGTATTAGCACGCAGAGTAACACCTACCCATAGGAATATCAAATCATGAGATGTTGCTTTCTCATCATCTGTATGGGCTAAGTGTCATCGCATCTACAAGACATCCAAATATGTTCGACATTTAGCTACATGAGGTGTCAACAGATCCATAGAGCTCTTAAACACGTCCACATATCTTGAGAGCTTTCATGTGATGTGACATAAAATATGGTTGGAGTCAGCTGTTAATATGTATAGTCTTCTGTCACATTGGTCCATCGTTTGTTACATGTATACCAATAAGACTTGGAGAAAACATACAAAGGGAACATGCACGCATGGAGTATGGAGATCGCTTCCAAAAGCACCAGTGCCACTGCAATCATTCCTGCTGGAAGCTGGCTAGATCAATAATATCATGCCTCGAACAAAGGAAGAAATGCTGCAGAACACGACGATGCGACGACAGCAGTAGAACTTGGATCTTTCTCGTCCTTTTCATGTCGAGCCAGTGCGATGGAGACGCACACGAGGTGCATGCTGAGCATGGACACAGCGGATCATGGCGAGCTTAGCGTCTGTATCCCTTCTTGTTCTTCCATGGACTGCTGTAGGATCATGCAGTCAATCATTGAGCTCAATAATGCAGGCCACCAGCCCTTACAACTCTCTCTCTCTCTCTCTCTCTTGAGAAATATGCCAAGTGAAGTGAAGCATGAGTAGTAGCCATATATATCTCTTATAAGAGTCATCATCAGTGGATAGTTGAGAGAGAAAAAAAAGGAAAAAAAGGAGAGGATCCATTGTGCTGCCATTTGTTTGCATTCGGAAGGTCTTCTGGTTGGCTGCAAATATTTAGCTACTTCTCCTCTTCTTTTCCTGTTGTCATGATCACAACTCATGCTGTAGGTCTTCCAAAATTTGATTGAGCTTTTACCATGAAGAGTTGATACGGTGTCATCATTATCACTGGTTCCCTCTTCCCAACTGAGGTTTCCTGACCTCAATTCCCACAGCTTGTACCAGTGCTTCACAAGCCCCCATGGCCAGCTACAGACAAGCAAAATAAATGGAAGAACATAAGGAGGAACAGATGCAGATAAATATAAGCAAAAGCTTGTAAAACTTCAAACTGTACTAGCTCCATGACTCATGTTGCAGATTACCATTTCACTGACAGTCAATGTTGAAGAAAATGATATTACAAGAGCTGGATATTGTAAAAAAAAACTAGCACCTCAGAAATCGATATTGAAGTTGATATTTCAGAAATTTATGCAGGGGAGTAGACAGCACCGAAAAATACAAAGAAGCTGTTAGTAAGAGCAGGATCATGGTGGTAAATAATACACAATAAAATTCAACAGAGTAAGAATAATCTAAGAGGTCTGCAAAACCTAATGCTCCATGCAGTTATCTAGGGGTAGAAGAATCATGTAAAAGGGACAGGGAAGCAAATGAACAGCCACCACCTCCAAAGATAAATGTCATTCTAAGCATAGATATAGGCAAGTGGGCAGAATTTGGAAAAAGAATTGGATGCAGCAACTAGTGGGAAAAGTAGTTTACAATACATAAAGCAGTGCTTTGAGAGTGGAAACTGCATAATTCCTGTTTCAAGCTTGCCACATATTCCACCTTGAGATAACTAACCAAGCTAACATGAGAGATGATTTGCCATGTGGACACAGGAAACTTACTCGGAGAAAGCTACTGAGAGATTTTAATAAGAGCTGGCATAGGAAAATGGTCAATATTTACTCCTTAAGGGGGGCCTAGTTAGTGACACAGCTTGGTGCATATTATTTTAGATCCAGGACGAACACAGTCTACCTTTCGGTGAGAAAAAAGATTAACCTTCTTGGCCAGTGAATAACCATATCATTCCATAGACAAACTTTTTGATCAACTGTGAAAGATTAATCCATGCAGTGATGTTTACACGAGAACCCGCCTGTGGCACCAGCTATGAGAAGCATTAGTGAAGTCTTTTTCTTCCACATGCTTTCGATTACATCTTACCTCCTCACAATCGGAGCCCCCATCATTGTTCATGTTACCTGGCACAATCATGATTTGAATGAAAGGTAACATGCCTGTTCAAGCGGATGGGAGTCAAATCAGTGGCATGGTTGCAATGATAGCTGTTATGAAGCTTGCACCATGACAATGTCATTGTCAAAGATGTAATTTTGGTCTGGTCTATTACCATCCTCTGCAATGGTGCACCTCACTAACATCGACGAAGTCCCAATAAAGTGAATAAAACTTTGGCCATAAGAGTATGAAGTTAGTTACCTTTGACGAAGACCAGCTTAGCCAACTGCTTCAACCCTCAGACTCGTCCCAAGGTTGGACTGGATCCAGGAGACAAAAAGGAGAAGTTTAGTTACAGAAGATGATCTAGTCACTTTGTCATTCCTATAAGAATTGACAGGGAGAAATATCAATTTGACGTTACAGATTATTCTATGCTCAAGGAAAAAAACCGGATATATCACTGGTAAGAACAAATGAGTCTATGCTTTTTCTAATATAGATGGCATATGAGAAGCAAAACTAGATCGTTATCCTTTTGTTTGTATAAAAGACACTTGCAGATTCAACAATACCAAACAATATCAGAAGGATCCTAGCAGTCCCTTTGAAACATGAATGCCAACAGGAATAAGACAACTGAATGGCATGATGATGATCAAGATCTACATTTGCTTTCCTTTTGACCAGAATAATAAGTCACCAAATATCAAGTCACAATAAACTCTATATAAAGCAAAAAGGATAATATAATGAACTGCCATGTTAACCTATATTAAAAAAGAACAACAATCTAAGCTCATAGTAAGGCATAAATATTTAATGCAAAAAAACTCTCACTCTTCATTACAATGAGATTGATGCATTTACATTATTAAAAAGACATGGAACTGCCAAAGGGCTCTGGTTAATACAAGTTATCTGGATAGTTCACAGTGTAATCAGAAAAGTAGATAATAGATATTTAGAACAAATGTTCTGTAGCAAACATAGGAAGCAACGGGAAATGACATCCGAGACTTCATGTTTTCTTAATCTGCCCGAGATTGACCAGCTCGAGATGAAAGGATGATGCCGACAATAAGACCATAGAGTGCAAGAGCTTCAGCAAAAATGAGAATAAGAATCATCCCAACAAACAGCTTGGGCTGCTGTGCATTGGCCCTGCAACAAATATAAACTCAATTCATTCTTCTATGGACTAAATGAACAAAAAACTGTAACACACCAACTCAAAGACCACAATTAGTCTACACACCAAATAATCAAGTTGACTCATTCAAATAGTCTCTATCAGACTTGTATCTGGTCTAGGACATAGGTTTCAATATATGGAAGGAAACAATATTTCAAGATCTAAGGTCAAAACTTAATGCTGACAAGTAGATCAGCACTAAGCACCTGTGGGATGAAGCACAAAGTGTATTAGGTCCAGAACACAGAACTGGTTTGTTTTGTTGAAATTTGGAACAACCATAGTATCTTAGTTCAAACTAGGGAGAATAACAGATAGGCAGACGCAGATTGCTGAACAATTTTAATCTGCTTTTGCTTGCTCATTCAAACAAAAATGATAGTTGAATCACAAGTAACCTAAGAGCAAGAGGCAAATATATTGGCAGTCCCTTAAATCACTGGTGCATCACATCCTCCATATGGTGCAAAGTAGAGTTCAATTTCGTTTAATGTGTTACTCCAGAATCTAGGTTTGTTATCTTAAATTAGTAACAATGAGAATAAGATCAGAGTTTTGGAAGGTGCTCCATGGTTTATACAAGCTATTGGGTTTCAATGCATAGAAATAAGATCTGAGATTAAAAAATAATAATTTACAGAAACTTGATTAGGACTAGAGATATTAACTTCCCTAATTTTTGATCTTCAAAGTTCTTGATATGATCGGGAATGGTATGGTTAAACCTTTATACTTGGATCATGATAAACACATCTAATCTAGTTGCAGTTAGAAAGGCTCTTCAGTCCAGGAGTCCTAATAGTTCCAGTACCACTGACAACAACATTGTGAACCATATGCGGAAAATGAACAACCAACAGAGTGACATGTAACTAACCCTGAAATTAGCAAGTTTGAGATTCGGTGCCGCATCACATCTTGGTTTATGCAAAAGGAGGACCACATCTCATGTTAAGATATTGAGCAACTACTGAAGGACTTCAAATGGCTAAACTCAACTGCAATCATCCAGATGACAGAAGCAGGATATACTAACTATCAATCCCCACCTACAACTTAACACATCACACAGATGGAACTGATTACTCATTTTATGTCAGCTCCAGGACACTGCTTACTGCCCAGAGCCAAATATATTTAGGCTTCAGCATATATAGGTTCATACCATCCACAATCATTCTCAATTTATTTTCTTTAACCAGACGACTAGAGATATCCAAAATCTAATGATAGCAATTAAGTCCCGTATATGCATATCTTTTGCGTGTGCATAAAAGAATAAAGTAGTTTGCAAATGTTAGCAAACAATGAAATAATAACTTGCTACCGTATTCCATGCCAATGAAGATATTACCAGCACACACCATAAAAGCAGTATGATTATCTCCAAGCTCAAAACTAATATTAGCATCATATTATTGAAGAAACATAATTACTTATCTTAAATTTATGTCCTTCTATTCATTGTTTATCAACAAGAACAAATTTGAATTAGCATTATCGTGAACATGTATAGATAAGCCACAATTTTCAATGCATCATTAAGAACTTGCTCAGAGATCCATCAGACCAAAAAAAAAACATTTACCGCTAAAATATGGCTGATCTAATGATATGACATTTTATAACAATCTTCTCATTCCATAATGGAATAATATCACATAGATAAAGAAGCTAGAAGATGAAGGTTATGTTTTATGCAGAATTGGTCATGTAACTTCCATCAAGGATGGTTTTTCTAAAGAAAATTATATATGTGAAATAGAAGCTCAATAATCAAGATCGATGTAGACATATAAGCTGCTATTTCTCAATATTATCAAAAACGCCAGCGAAAAGCATCTCAATAACCAGAGAAAAATCAAATCAGATCGGAAAAGAGGTACCTAACGCCAGCATCTCCGACGATCCCGATCGCCATCCCGGCAGAAAGCCCAGCGAGACCACAAGCCAGTCCGGACGAGAGGTGAGCGTAGCCGTCGAAGAGATAGTACGGCTTGGCCTTAGGGTTTATCCCGGTGCTGATGATCACAGCAATGATCAACCCATAGATCCCGAGCACTCCCGCCATGACAACGGGCACGATCGACTTCATCACGAGCTCCGGTCGCATCACTCCCATTGAAGCAACTCCAACTCCGCTCTTCGCCGTCCCGTACGCGGCCCCCATGCCTGCAAAGAAAAAAAGCGCCTCATCAAAGCCAAATTTCGGATTTGACGAGGCATGCGATTCGATCAAAGGATAGTATTACAGGAGAAAACAAGAGCCGCCGCGGCTCCGAGGAATCCGAAGAAGGGGGCCGTCTCATCGCCGGTGAAGGTTGACATCGCCAGGTGGATATGTGAAACCCTAGAATTTGGAAGCCTTAATTCTTGCAGAGCGGTGGATGAGGAGGAGGAAGAAGGGCCGACGACTGCGATCGGTGACAATAGATTCGTTGGTGTCAATATAATAACATTATAAGCAACTACACATGTTTAGGTCAGATTTGGGTCTATGCTATAATATCGGTGCATGAGAATAAACCTACCAGCGGTGACGATATCTCCAAGCAGACAGCGGTTTAGCCTCTGCAATGCGCACGGTGGTCCTTCCGATGAGTTAAGGGCTTCGTAGATAGAGCGATAGAGAGCGAGACAGAGAGAGGGGAGGACGGAGAGGGAGATGGCACCGCCCAGGGGGAGAGCGAAGGGCGACACGGCGGTATTCTTCGCGGCGACGCTGGTGCTGTGGGGCGTGTCGGTGGCCTTCGAGATGACCTTCAACAGGAGGTCCGAGCTCGCGCCCGTCGTCGCCGGCTTCTTCTTCTTCCAGGCTGCCAACTGGGCCGTCCGCTTCTCCCTCTCCCGTGACCCGCTCTTCGTCAACACGGTCGTCTCCCTCCTCCACTCTACCGTCACCACCACCTCCGGTTCGTAAACCTCCCTCGCTGGCCCCGATTCTTCGCTTCTTGTGAAAAGCGACGCTCAAGTCTCTTCTTTTTAAAGTTTCGTCCTCGTTCTTTGCTCGACCTAGCCCTCAACTACAGAACGCCGTAAGCTAAAGTCATCCTCGGCTTGAAAGTATTCAGTAAAATTGCATTTTGCTGACAGTCATTTCCATTTTTTGGAAGTTTGGGAAGTTGGTGTGAAGTGTTGGCCAAAGGAAGCAAGCTTGCTGGACTATACACTTGTCGTTCACAATTTATGTACAGACATAGAGTTTCTACCTGATTAGATTTATGGCATCCGCCCGGGTAGTACCGACAATGTCCTATTTAGAGCTCTGAACCTTCTTTAAAATCTCCTCCCTGCTTTGTGATTTCCTATGTCGGGTTTTGGAAGATGTAAGTTTGCCCATATAATTTTATGACTTAGCTTCGGCCAAATGGGAGTAGAATTGGCAGTTGCATCTCATGGTACACCTGCATGATAGGCTCCGGATGAGCTTTGACTATAAGTTGTTGTAGTTAAAAATGGAAGTGCATTGCAAAGTAGTCTATGTGTTCCTAGATTCTTAATAAGTCACATTCCTTTGAGGTGTAAATCATGTAAGGAACTTTTACACATTTCCAACTGGTTCAAATTGAGTGTAACTTCCATATGTGATCCATAGCACTGGAGTCAGGATGTTATTCTGAGAAAATGAATAAAGTGGACAAACAGGCTGTAGAGATTCTCTACAACTTGGTAGGTAGAGACAGGTGGCATGTGAATACTGTATCATGCCACTTCTTCCCCCTTGTCGTCCCTTGCCTTTAGTAGCATAGAGGGTGAAAAACATTTGTGTAGAGATAGTTATTTTAGTGATTTGCAATAGGTTTCAGTGCTTCTTTGGCATGTTATACTGTTATCTCGCTTTATTTTTCTTGTACTGCTTTATAGCATGTGAGGGATGAGATTAATTTGGATGATAGTACTTAATAAATCACTCAGATAATTTGCTAAATAAGGTAACATATTTTGTCCTATAAATAAATTTCCATTGAATTAAACCAAAAGAAATGGATTGTACATTTAATAATATCTATAAAATTTAATTGTTTTTCAGTTGATTTATGTTTAATGACTTGATGATATTGATGAAACTTGATCCCCCATTTTAGGCATTTCAAAGCATTTTGGATCAGTCCAAGATAACATTGTGTCATGAATTGGGATGTGCAACTTGAGTTGTGGTTCCAAAGGGGTAGAATGATCCTTGTAACCATGGTAGCTATCTTAAACAATTTTTCATTTCAGTGCTTGGACCTAAGTTTATAATAATTTCATCAATTTCGTGGTGTTGGCCATATTATGCAGTTTTTGATTTATCAAGTTAGATATTCACGTAAGTCCTAGAAAAAAATGTAAGATAGGGATGGATCCAAAATATTTAACAACAATTGAAGTACATATTGTTTCTTAGGCATATTCTGCCATAATCTTCACTAGTGTCAACCATATTCTATCATAGCATGGTTTACTTGTCCAACCAAGTACCGGTAATGGTACATATAACTTCATACCACTCTATGCATTATGTTATATTATTTCTTATTGACGTAGGAGTGTCTGGATCAGTAACTGTCCCATATACCACATTTAGATCCAATAGATCATCAAAACCAAAATCGAACTGATATTTAAATCCATAGCCTTGACAGGTTTATAGAACCATATCTAGTCAACAATTGATAAGACTTTGCAAAGTGAGAGAATCATATTATTAGATTGTGAATACCCTGTTAGTATCAGCCAAATATAACTACTAGATAGAACATTTAGGATTCTTATAGAACTCTTAGAGTTGCAGAAACTGGTTGATCTCGGCTGACATATTGGCGTACAATTTCAACAGCAAATTATCTGTTTTAGCAAAATAAGAAAAGCTTGCTTTAACCTCATCCAAAAGCGAAGGACAAGTCATAATATGACTTTGATTCCATGGAAATTATCTCTTGTTCTTGTTTACCTTCATATTATGTTATAGTCAATATCAAATTAGGTAGCTTGGGTTTGAGTCAAATTAGGTTTTATTTCAGGCTGAACATGTTCCATATCTTTTAGGAAATTTTTGAAGGTGAATTTAATCTTTTTTTGCTATTTTATAGGATCAGATTTGTTAAATTTTGGTTCCAAGTTGAGTCATAGTGGGGTTCAATAAGAGTTTTAGTTGGGGGGTAGTTTCCTTGTTGACACATTGAATTGACTTGGTCAGGCCAAGTAGGAAACTAATTGAATTGGTCAAATCTCTTTGCAATCTATTACTAAATCCTTCTAAACTATTGAAGTCTTGAAAGCAAGAATCGTCATACAACTCATACCATTCAGTGGAAGTTAGCTTGTGATCATTCAAGAAAGACACGGCCACATATTGTTTTCGGCTATGTTGTTGGTGTTGACACATGACTAGGCCAATATTTGGTCTGTTGGCTGACTAAGGAGTGCACATCTGCCACAAAACATTAATGTGATATGTAAGAAAGGTATTGGTTAATCCCTTGTGCTGTGAAACAACATGCCTCGCTTTAAAATGACTTAGAATCATGTCAAACACTGAAGCCATCTGTATCTATCTGCTGCAACCCTTGCCTTAGGGTTTTGAAGCTGGATTGTGCTTCTGATACAACCCCAATGAGGTGAGTGGATTTTGATATTTGTTGTCCTCTTTTGAGCAGGAGTTTTATCTGTCAAGTTTATATGGTTTTATATGTCAGAGTGTGCACATCTAGAGAGGAGCATGTGAATATGATGATTTGACGAGTCCATGCTTTTTATTTGATGCTCTTTTGCAACTTGGGAGGCCAGGGTTCAAGTCACAAAAACATTTAAGTGCATTTTTTCTTTTATCCTTCTCTTGAATTTTTCTATCCTTTACTTCTTTCCTGATTTCCTGTTTTCTTGTAGTGACAGTTCCTCTGCTACTAATGGTCAGAAACCATGCTGATAAGCCTTCAGATACACCACTGTGTTACAGAATTATCATTGTAGTGGTCGATGAAAGGGCTGCACAGCCCTTGCCTCAACAATATAGGCACTCTCAGGATCTGATTTTATTAGGACCATCGAGGTAGCTCGTGTGACAACATCAAAGGCCCAAAAGGAAGTGTTTGTCATTGGCTTAAAACTCCAAAGAATACCAAAATCTGATGGGGTGTTTCTATGCAGGATAGCTTAGTTAATATGTCTCTATCATAACTTTTGTTACTTTCTACTCTGTCTTGGCATCTTGGGAGGCCTTCTCCTCCTTGAATTGGAGAAACCCTGATCAGGACGATCTTTACTAACACATATACTAACTCATGTTTCCATGGTTCCTTATTGACATTTCGGAAACTTCTGTTAAGTTTGCTTGCCAGAAATATCTTTTTCTAGTAATTTACCATCAACCTCACATTTGCTGGACATTACATTTCTAGGATCTTCTGCTCCTTTTTATCATATTTTTATCATTTTAGCATGTTGAGATAAGCCTGGTTAGCTCATGGATAACTAAATCAATTTGTATATGGTGCAGTTGTCTTGATTCTGATCAATCAGTGGATGATTAAGGGACTAGGCAATATGTTTGAACATGAGCAGCTGTTTGGTGGCACATGGCTAGGTGCATATTCGGCATTGTGTTTTTCTTGTGGTTACTTTGCATATGACCAATTGGACATGCTCCGGTATCACCTCTATAGTGGTTGGATTCCTGGCATCCTTGTTCACCATTTGATTCTGCTGGTTTGCTTTACATTGGCTCTCTATCGGAATGTTACAATCAACTATCTCATACTTTCTCTTATCTGTGAGGTAAAACTTGGACCCTTCTGCCTCTTTAATTTTCACATTTGTGTTTATTGAAATAGACTATTGTGATGCCTAACGTTTTAAACTTTCTGAAAGGTGCCAAGTTTTCGTAGAAATGTGCAGTAATTATCGTATTCTTCCTTGATCATCTGTTCAGTTTATTACTTTCTGATTTAAAAATAGCACCAGCTGTAGTTATACTCATGGTTGGCTGTTTTATCGAAACAGCAGCAAAATCACATTTCTGATGAGTTTACATAAAGCAAGCAAACCATATTTCTGATGTGACAGCTACTGTTTTCAGTTCCATTCGATCTTTCTACACATGAGAAAAGTGAGGAGGATGGCTGGGTTCCGTGATGCGAAAAGCAGAGTGGTGAAAGTAGAGTGGGTGCTCAATTGGACCACCTTCTTTGTTACAAGACTCGGATGTCACGTACTCATCACGTACAAGCTAATCTCCGATGCACCCAAGTTTGGGAGGGGTATCGAGTTGCCGTTGGCTCTGTTTGGAATGGCTGGCATGAATCTGCTCAACATTATTCTTGGCCGTGATCTCTACGGAGCATATAAACGAGAGAAAAATCAGCAAAGACGTCAGGAATGAAGGTTTTGTTCTTGTGATAATTGATTTAAGCATTGTGTTGCACTGGAGATATGT